AAAAAAACTAGTTTAAAATTAAACGTGTGCTAAAAAAAGGGATAAAATTTAGGAGATTAAATACCCAAAGAAGGGGATAAAATTGGGGGATTAAATGTGCAAAAAAGGATAAAATGGCCACTTTCTTTTACCAAGTTTGTGATACACGCACTGGCTAGGTATACCTTACTTAATATTATTTGCCCCAATTTGAATTCCAAGCGAAGCATTTTGTCCCAGATTTGCCGTAATTTGTTGAAACCATTTTTTTTCTTGTGCTTTTTTAATTCTAGAAAATTATGAAAATGCCACATAGGTTTAAATCCTATGTGGCATATGCTCCATGATTTAAATTTTTCTCTCTGATTTTTGCCTTAGTATAGTACTAGTATTTATCCCGCACATTGTGCGAGTTATTCAAGATATATACAATCTTAATGATTTAAAGATTATATGATATTTTTAATGGAGTGATATATATAAAAAATAATATTAATGACATAAATTGCAATTGTGTATTTCTTTAAAAATTTTAATATGTTTTGTTATTTAAGTGCATTTGGAATAATTTTCAATATTCAAAATCATCTAATGTAATTTATTGTCCATCTTTTCCATTTTGTTGAATTATGGCTTTGTATCTTTTAAACGCATTCTCTTAATTTTTCATAATAATTTCTCTAAATGTTTCTACCCGTATCATATCTTTTAAACTATCCATCTAACAGAAAATTTTATCATTATTTTTTCTATAAAATTATTTTAATTTTCCATCTCTCTATATATTTTTTGCAACCTATTTTTAGAAGTCTATTTGTATTTTTTCCGATAATATAATGTTTATTTTAATTTTTTCTTGGTTGCATAGTCTCCACCTTTTTCTTCCTAAATTTGATTACCTCTTTATTTCTTAAAAAATTTGTAATAATTATTTCATTTTTTACTATTTTCTTAGTTTCTCTTTTCATATTTTCTTATTCTCTACATAATTTTCCTTAATACAATTATTTTCAATTTCTCAGTATGCTTTTCCTCTACTGTTTTTCTATCGATATTAGCTCGAGGTATAATCATTGTCCAAAGAACACGATCCCCTAATAGTCATCCCACACGTTGTGCAGGTTGATGCTATCTACTTTCTCTATCCCTAACAAAAGGTCAAAATTTTGGGATCCATATTAAAAAGTAGTACAAATTTTGAACGCAATGTCTAGTTTTTTTGGGGACAGAGAGAGTAGTTTTTCAAGTGATAAGACAAAAATATCCTTTTATTCATCTCCATTTTCGTCCCCAATTTTATGGACCTTTTTTTGTTATAAGGAATATGAAGTATTAATCGGATAAAAGTGGTTATTTATAAATTTTACGGATTTATAAATAAAAAATTACCATTAAATGATGGAATGATGTGCTTATGACATGTGGACTTGGTTATATAATTTTTTGACATGTGGATTACCCTATCTAATTTCACGCCATGTGTCCGATTGAAAGCTCTCCTTTAATATATACTAGTGTTTATCTCGCACGTTGTGCGGGTTGCTCAAGATATAAATTACAATGGTGTAATTTTTATTGTCGGTATGGTTCGTTATTTTAAATACATTTGGAGTAATTTATGATATTCAAAATTATCTTATGGAACTTATTGTTCTTTTTTGGTGATTTACGACTTTATATCTTTTTAGAGTATTTTCTTAATAGTCCATAAACTTATCTTTATTTACCATCTCTCTATATACTTTTTGCAACCTTACTTTAGAAGCTTGTTCATATATTTTTCCTATAATAAAGTACTTACTTTTTTTTCTTGGTTGCATAGTCTTCATTTTCTCCTATCATGAAAAATTAGTAACAATTATTTCATTTTTCACTATTATCTAGGTTCTTATATATATATATATATATTTGTATATCTTCCTAATTTTTTTCCTCTGTATGATTATTTTCAATTTCTCAATATCTTTTTTTTTTCCTTTGTGTCTCTCACAAAGAAATTTATTTATTCTTCTCATTTTGGAAAATTTTCTCCCTATTGATCTCTATATTTTGTTTTATAATCGTAACATTTACTTTTTCTATCATTATATCATAGAGAAACATATAAGGAATTATCTAATTGATTCCTTTTTATATATTTTTCTATAGATTATCAATATTAATCAATATTAAAAGATTTATCGATGAAAATCCTATACACATTTGATTCCAAGATGCATAAGAAAAGAAATCGGCAAAAAAACTATTTAGTAACGGTATGGAGTATTAATTCTCTTAACTACGATGAAACAATTTTGATTCTGGGCAATAAAAAACATGTATTTTTTAATATGGACATGTTAGTATTAGTATTATAAGTAATTTAAATACTTATTTCTTATCCTTTTTTAAAAAATTATTTTATTTGACACTAAGATTTGATTACATTTAAATTTGGTAGTTGTTCTCTCAAACAAAACAATTAATAATCCTTAAAAAATTTGTTAAACTGATTAGCTAAAAAATGTAAGAGACACCGAATAAAATATTATTCAACATAAAAAAAATATTAATGGGATTTATATAGGTGAGGCACTTTTTATTCACCTTAAAAAGATATCTATAGGGTTTTGTATCAGAAAGACAATTTTTCAAATCGGTAATTTTTATTTTCTTTTTTTCGTGGTTTTAAAGGTGAAAGTGAAACACTATTCTTCGATCTTAAATTTTTTGAATAGGTAATTTTATTTTTATTTTTTTGCCGTCATTCTTTACTAATATTAAATCTAGAAAATGATCATTTTATAGTTGTTAGTGTAAGAAATTTATGTTTGTTCATTGTTTGGCGGGATCTTTTCTCTTTTTAGTTTTTTTTTTTTTTTTGTCTTTTCTCCTTATTAGGCTTTTTTTTTTTGGTAGTGTTAAAGGTGACCGGTCCGTTCATATTAGTTTAGTTCTCTTATTATGGCTAATGAAAAAAATTAAATCGGTAAAATTTTTTATTTATAAATTTTACGAATTTACAAATGAAACATTATCATTAAATGGTGGAGTGATGTGGTTGCGACATGTGGACTTGACTATCTAATTTTTCTCACCCCAAAATCATTTAATAGACGCTAAATTCTAATTGGTTATAATTTAACTAGGTGGTTCAATCAAAATATAATGACTGGACCATAAAATTTTCCGTATATATGTATATATATATATATAGAGAGAGAGAGATAGATATAGACTAGCGTTGGTGCACCGTACAGTATTTGGTGAAAATATACCTAGTCTATTGTAGAATTCAAATGCTCTATGACGTTTGAATTAATCATCTGTGGTCTAGTAACTAAGTTAAATATTTGGTGCAATTTGCGTTTGTTCAATTTGCTCTTAATTGCAATGTCTTTTGAGGATTTGACTCTCTATGACAGCACTAATGCTCCAAAGAACACCATAAGCTCCAAGAGGAAGCCAACCGCAAGTATCACTGTGTTTGAATTTTTTTCCCCCTAAGTTAAGGATTAAATTTAGTGAATTATTACCGTAGGAAACAAATTCTATTGTGAATTTGTGATGACCGTTTATTTGAAGAAAAAGATAAGTCAATACAATGAAAGTGCATGTTGAGAAATGGATGAACAAATAAACCTTTTGCCAGAATTCCTTCGACCAACCGTAAACCAAATTCGCTTTCTCTCTTTTTCGCTCATTCTGAATAGAAGGGGGAGGGTGGGAGTAAGCTTCAATAAACAAAGAAGCTGTGGAGAAGATGAGTCACTGGCCATTGGATAAAAAGGTCACCACAAAGAAGCCAACTTGCTGAAGAAAGGGTAAAGCGGTCCTTACGTAATTGACACATCACCCACTACCACCTTCAACCTCCAGTTAACCGTGCCAAAAACGGGGATCCCCTTTATATTACTGGTAGGCTACTAAACGCCCTAATTTTTCCCTTGAACGCCCTAATGTAATACCAAAAGACTATTTTACCCCTACTAGATTTTATAAATTATTAGTTTCAATTTCATTCTTTCAATTCTTAAATCAATCTTTCATTTCAAATTCTCTCATTCTTAAATCCAAAAAACTCAGATTCAATGGCAGAACGAATGAAACGGCTATGGAAAAAAGCACGGAATCTCCGCGCCGGCTCTACTTGACCCGGCAAGGTCCTCCATCGCCGGCCGGGGCAGTGCAATTTCTTTTAAAAAAAAAAAAACCTCTAATTTGAACGTACCTTCAGTTTCCGTGCTTCTTTCCGTAGCCGTTTCATTCGTTCCGTCATTGAATATGAGTTTTTTGGATTTAGGAATGAGAGAATTTGAAATGAAAGATTGATTTAGGAATTGAAAGAATGAAATTGAAACTAATAATTTATAAAATTTGGTAGGGGCAAAATGGTCTTTTGGTATTACATTAGGGCGTTCAAGGGAAAAAATTAGGGCGTTTAGTAACCTTCCAGTAACCGTAAACCCTAAACCCTAAACCCTGAACCCTATACCTTAAACCCGGACAAAGATGGCGCCAAATCTGGTGCCATCACCTTCGCCAAAGGCGAAGGTTTTCTTGCCTCCTTGAGTTTATTTCACGTCACCCCGCATAGGGGTGGTGTGTTCCTCCTGCGCCAGTCGTTAAAATGTCCTTTGTCTCTCTTTTTTTTTTAAAAAAAACGTATTTCTATTGTGCAGAGGGTGTATCCGTCTTTAGGAGTTCGCTCAAATGAAAAAATAAAGCAATTTGACCCCCTTATTAAGTAGTAGATTTATGGCTAGTAGTAATACACATTTTTCCGAATTGGCATTTCGTAATTCGTAGTACTAGAATGAATGATCTGGTGAGAGCATTTCTCTTTTTCCCAAAAATACTTGTACCTTCTACTGATCCCAAAATCCAGAACCAACAATTTTCCCTCCATTTTTTTGGGTATCTTTTTGAGCAACTCAAAAAATGGCGAATTCTGAATCCAAAATGCTGCTCATTTAAAGAGATCTCCAATTCCCTTGATCATTCACTCATTCTATCACTCAATTTCAGTGCACACCCAAAATATGGTGAAAATCGGCCGAGAAACAGAGCTCCGGCAAGCGGAGCTAGCTTACCAGGCGGCGGCGGCGGAGTCCGGCAATCGGAAGGAGGAGGGGGAGCGTTGGGCGAATGTCATCGCCAACATCTGCATGAACGATCGAGGGGCATACTTAGATGCTCTGAAGTTGATTAAGAAAGATTATCTCAACGAATCTTACCCGAAAAAGACATCCTTCCTGCTTGTAGTACTCTTGGTAAACTCCATCTCCGGCTCCGTGGTTTCTCCCAAGCCTTGTATTATCAGGTAAAGAAGTTCTTCTCGGTCGAGTTACCGATTTCGAGTTTGATCGTTGGTAGGTTTTCGACGTGCTTAGAGTTTGTATATTGAATTGTTTTGTTGCATCATCTCAAACAGTATAGGAGCCTTAATTTTGTTTTTGTTTTTCTTTGGAGACCGGATTTCTTTCACTTTTGATAGGATGGGATCTTGGTTCTTTCCATTTGGTTGTAAATGCATTCAAAAATTGCAAGGACTGGGCCCTTTTTTTTACATTCTTATTATTCTAAAGTAAAAAGGAACCAGATTATTTTATGATTTTTTTCTCCATTTGAAAATCATAAAATGAACCATAGTAGAATAGATTGGTTGGTTTGAACTGGTTTTTCTATTTTCAACCATGTCCAGAGCAGTACGAAATGCAACAAAACGTCTTTGGATTACTTTTGAGAAAAGAGACAACCCGCATGCAACACATTTGGCTCAGGAGATGAAAAAAATAATGTTCAAATCAAACAATGGCAGATGTTTGACCTTTTTCTACAACACTTGAAACAAATAACTGGTATATGCTTTTTTTTTTCCATTTTTATTTAAAAATCTGAATGATTTTCTGATGCTTTTCGAATTTGGGTTGTATGAGCGAAGACTCTGTTCCTAATTAGTATAAATTGTTATACTTTTTTATCCTGCTTGAGATGTGAGTCCGCTATGGTGCTCTGTAACGTTGCCTGATCAGGGTGCCAACTGTGCTTTTATGTTGTTCATAAATACATGGTTATTTATTTATTTTTTTGAGTAACTGATTTTTAACTTATTTATTGTTGTTGCGTCAACTATGTGTTAGCCATTTCTAGTTTTAAAACAAATTTCTGAAGCTATGGAATGACATTTGGTTATCGGTGATGCAGGAAAAACATTTAGGTCTTGCCGAAGTGGTGAATGACCTTCCTGAGCAACAAAGAGCTAGCACGCAATTTGGTCGAACGTACCATGAAATGTTTCTGGAGTCCGAGGATGATCATTCTGCAGGTCGGAGTGCCAAAAGTACTTCATTTCAGCCATGAATCTAGCCAAGAATCTCAAGGAAAACCGCTTGAGCAGTATATCCCCTTTTCCTACAGTGTATATCGATGCCCATAACAACCTTGGAATGCTTGAAATGGCTCTTGATAACTTGGAAAGAGCTGAGAACATTCTTACCAGTGCTTTGAAGATATGCAACGAACAAGAGGTTGGCGAGAATGATGATAGTTGCAGTGGGCTTCATCATAACCTTGGAATTATTTATATGGAGTTTATGAACTGGAAAGAAGCTGAAGAGCACATTCAGAAAGCTATTTCGATCTGTAAGAACATGACGCACTACTTAGGGGAGGCTAAAGCTTTAGTCAATCTTGGGGTGTTGTATTATAGGGTCAAAAGATATGACAAGGCAATCAGTTGTTATGCAGATGTGCTTTATTTGGCAAAATCACTGGAAGATGAAGAAGCTTTAGTCTATCAAGTAGTAAAACATATCGACTCTGTCAAAGCAGCAATTGAAATAATGAAGGAACTAAAGCAAGGTAAACAGAATATCAAAAATATTGAAAAGAACATTGAAGATTCCAGGTGACATGCAAATGAAAGGAAAACTATACGGGAACATATATATAACATCTCTTGATCTTCTGATTGAGAAATCACGCATGATATTTGCATGGAAAGAGGTATGTGCAGCCAACTTCTTCCTTATCTACTTATGTATATGTCGATGCCCTAATTTGTCTCCCTTCTTGATTCCAAATTAACTTTGATTTTTATCTAAAAGAAATAGAGAACGTATGGAATTTGAACTTTCCTACAAGATCCACCCTCGCACTGCATTAATGGTTGTCAAAATGAATTGTCTGTGAACTGTGCCAAGTATGTTATCTTTATGTTTTGGTAGTTTTAGAATATATGAGTGGTCGATGGTCAAATATGAATCTAGAAGGGCATCTTTCCATTTTTAAACCCTATTTTTTTTTTTTCTTAAAAGAAAAACGAATAGAGTTGCATAACATGTTACTGGGTTTTAAAGATCACCGCATAAAAAAGTTAAACTCGAAATTTTCAGCAAATAAAGTCACCTATGGAGCCTAATCACTTTAAGATGATAGTAAAAGGGAAATGGTTTCATCTAATTTGATGTTTTATCACAATGGAGGAAAACGTACCTTAAATGAAGACTACAAATTATGTTTCAGCAGTAACTTTTGGATTTGTGAATATTATTTTAAAGGAAAATGTTTTCTGTACGCGCCTTTCCTACATCCCTGCCAAGATTCACCAAGATATTAAGTATGGCCCTTTTGCTTTGCGTAGCATCTCAAATATGCAGCAAAGAAGATGTACATTATTTGTGGAAGAACTTTGTGACAAGGAGAAACTGGCAGATTCCCTCTTAGTTATTGGAGAATCAAATCAAAAGCTCCGGAAGTTTGAGGAAGCTCTGACGTGGTACAGAAAGAGATGGGAAACTTATAGTTTTATTGGAGACTTCGAGGTAACTTTTTTCTTTTCTTTTTTGTTTCTAACAAATCAGAAACAGAAAATTATACCAACATATAATGGAAGTGCAGTTGCCAATTTCTTGGTTTGAGAGACTTATTTAATATTTAATTTCAAATCTAAAACTTGGTCTTGTTTCAGTAGTTTCTTGTATTGATAAATTTTATTTTGTGTGGTCTATATGTTTTCAGGGACAAGCAGCTTCCATGGTTAATATGGGTCTCGTTTTGGATTTTAAAGGTTGTTGGAAGGAAGCCTTCAGGTGTTTTGAAGAGGGTTACAGGCAAGTAACACCACTTCCCCTGTGCTTCTGATGTACATTATCTTATTATGATACTGAAAATTGTTTTCATCTTGTTTATACATATGGAAGAAAGTTGTATGCTGTGAATGATAGAAATTAGTGTGCAAATCATCAGTGCATGTTTCCATGTGCTCTTGAATGTATACACCAATTTCTTGTCTAAATAAAGTAGAAACTCTTCTCATGTGCTGATAAAATGTAGGAGCTATATTACGTCTAAGACAAAAGGTTGATCAAGGATTTTTTGTTTTCATACATAGTCTGAGTTTCTAAAAATGGTTGCTGTTTTAGCTTTAAGAAGAAGCTGGCTAGATTCCTTTTTTTTTTTTTTTTTCCGTAAGTTGTATATTAATACTCTCTTTCTCATCTTCTATACCCTCACCAATCTTACTTTTACTTGTGCTTCTTGATGTTCTAATCCAGGATTGCTTCTGAAGCTCACGTTGGTTCCGCTAAGTTGTCTGCTATGGAAAATATGGACTACAGCTACAAGATCAGATTTGACAACGTTGAGATTAATAGGTAATGAAATATTTTTTTCATGTGACCACCTTCATTTACGGCCCCAGTGAAAAGGTTTGGCAAAAACAAAACTAAAGAAGCATAACTTTATTAACTTTCCATAGAAGTGATTTTTGTTCCCTTTTACAAGTGTTGCTGTGAGTTGCAGATGCAAACATAGTTTCTACAGTCCACCTAATCGACCAGGAGACCTTTTTTTTTTTTGGGTGGTTTTAGTTGACCTGCAACAGCTGTCTGAAATGAATTTCTCTTTCAGGAAGTTGAAAATATCAATCAACAAATCTGAAGCATTCATCAAGTAGAGAGATTGGGGTGAACAATTGAGCAGGCTTTTGTTCTGAAACTGAATGTAAGATAGAAAGCCAGCCATCAGATATATCTGAAGTCTGCTATTCCCAAGTTAAAAGTGTTTCAAACTCTACGGCTGTTTTGGATGATGATGCTCCTTTAATAACAGTTTTTCATGCTCGTAAGAAAGGTTTGAGATACGAGAGTTCTTCCATATCGGCTTGTGCTCAGGAAGTTGGTCGTAAACGCAATTGTTCTTTTCTATCGGATGTAGGAACTAAATAACGTCTGTGCAGAAGAGCAGTTAAGCTCTGCCATGGAAAAGATACTGCTACATCAAGTGGATGTAATTCTTCATTAATAAGCGAGAGCTTACTTGCTAGTTTTGTACTTGCAGTTGATTATATAAACACTGCCAAGAAGCCATGTGAATTTCAGGTAGGCAATTTTGATCATATCTAATTAAGTTATAATTGAGGATAAAGCCTGACTGGTCTGGTATTGGTAGGATGTTCTGCATCTTTACCTTAGAGGGTGCCATGGTTGCTTACACTCCTGTTGTCATTGAAAAGAGCTGCTGTTCTAGCCAATTGATGGCTCCTACACCTGCTGCAAGGGCCTGTGGAAGTCTGTTGGTTAACCACCAAACACTGAATCTCACTTCCTACCCTTTGTTAGATGTACTCAGATTATACGAATATTATGCATATGTTCATTGCTCAAGCCAGAACTATCTATTCCAAGAGTTTGATTTTTGGGTAAAAAAAGAAAAAGGATTTGCATGTATGTATTGTACGTCAACATAGAGCGTGATTTTATCTTTAGGTGTAATTGGCTCTATATTTTTGTAAGAGAAGTGACCATTAATCATTTGAAATGATAAGGAGAGAAATCAAGATTTTGTTCTTCACGATTGGCATTATATCTTTAGGCCATATATTTTCACTTTTTGTGGGTAACCATGTTGTGCCACTTATTTTTGAACTTCATTAACTGTAGCACCGTAAGTCTATGGCTTTGTGTATTTAGTCTTTTAGGCTAATTGTCAGTACAAGCCTTGATGTTATCAATCTGCTGTTTCTGTGTACATCTTTAATAACTGGTAGTGTTATCTTCACCTTTTCAATTATCTTGTCATTAAGTTTGTATTTACTTCAATTAAGCTGAAACTGTTCTGAACCTCTGTTGATTGCAGGGATATATAACTATCAAAATCAAGAATTATGCATGATACATGATGAATTCAGCATAGAGCATATGAAGGTTATAGTGGCATGTTTGTACTACCTACAACTGCCTTCTCGAAAGAGAGAATCAGGTATGAATATCTCCTTTCACCTTTCTGTAGCAATAAAAACCAGCATCTACCTCTTGAGCCAAATGACAAGCCTGTTGGAAGGTTATTACATGGATTTCGTAAACCAAAAGGGTAAAAAACGTGGACTTCACATGTAACTGTCAAATAATTCGTTCGTATAGGTTTAAATGAACAATTCTCTATTTCTTACACGGCATCCTAGCGCATGTAGCTTTAGATACTTATAACCCCTCTAGCCATGTTGTGCATGTCTCCTAAGAATCCCTGTCTTTTCTGTCACATTCTATTCTTTTGGTAAGAAAGATCCTTGAGAAGAATTCAGCAATAACACAAACAAATTTCGGGACAGCAGAGTGCTAATTTGTTACTCTTTGCCAGTTAAAGCAAAGGCATGCCGGGGTTTTGACTTTGGTTTCTATAACTATCAGCTATTTTAACTAGAGAGAATCTCTAGTCAATCCCTGAAAGACTTAATGAATGACTGATATGTTCCCAAGTAAAAAATGCCATGCCAGAAGTTATGCATTCTACAGAAGGACATAAAGTAAGCCTGAACTGGTGAGTTTGTAATTTACTAATTAACTGTAATGAGGAATATACTGTTAATTAATTTTGAAGAGTATCAACATAAGAAAGAGGGAGAGTTATGAAGTATGCACGACACATATGGATTCACTAAAAGAATCAGAAAGAGGAAGAAACAAGATGATAAAATCATCTACTTCTTGTAGGTTGCTGGAAGTAATGTAGTCATAGAAATAGTTGTCAGCTTGCGTTTATTGAGAAAGACTTTTACCTAGATTTTCATTGGTTACGGTTTCCAAAGTGCATTTTAGTGTCCTAAGTTTGCTTGCATTTTACAATCAAGGTCGCTAATTCAGATTTTGTTGATCCTCAGGTCTGGTGCCAGAGGTTCAGGATATCAAGTGTGATGGTAGAACCCTACAAACTCTGGAAGCTGAAACTTTACTGAAAACTAAAAAACATGGAGAGTGCCGATTGGAAGGCATATTGGGAGGTACGTGAGTTGATGGACCATCCTAAGCTTAATTTGTTTCTATCACGTCTTAGTTTTCTGTTGCTGCTGTTGTGTACTTCCTAAATCTTTTTTTTAGAACTTTTTTTCCATAGTTAACTGTCTCCTGAAACAATGCTTGCTTGAACGCATGATTGAAGAAAGGTCAAATGACAGGATATAATTTCCTATATCTTGGGGCCTATTCAGTATATAACTTGTGTTTTCTTGTGATCATCATCTTTACTTCTCAATTTTCTTCTGTTAATTATGATTTGCCTCCTTTATTGGTTTTTTCATCTTGTATTTTTTTGCTGTCTACTTTAGGGTTTACATCATAAAATTGTAGCGATTTGTCAAATTACAGTGGAAATGACGAACAACCTCAATGCCAAATTGTTTAACCCACCAAATAATCCCAATCAAAGCATGATATGTTGTTGATTATTTAATTTCTTTTTTTTTCTCCAAGAAGCATTATTTGTCTACTTTACTAGCTCATTTACTTTCAAACCCTATTCATTGAGACACGTACCTTTGCTGTTCAAGCAGTGTGGAAAATGTGGCAAAAAGTGAAGCTATACAGTGATTGCTGCAAGGAACATTACGAAATGCCCTACCTGAAAGTTTTGAAGAACTTATTTAATCCAGAGGTAAGCTTTGGTAACTTTTAGTTCTTTCAAGGTGCATGTTTTCTTTTAATTGAGAAAAAGTATTACAGGACTGGATCATTGATTCTATCACCCTTTATTTTCCAAAAAAAAATTCTATCACCCTTAAAACCTACCCACGGATGAAGGACAATGATGCAATGCGAACACTTTGTTTATTGTCAGGAAATAGAAGATGAAATAATAGCCTCACACTATGGACTGCACGATGTATCAGTTGCCCCACTACTTGATGTCTTACATGGACAAAAGGCAGCCGCTATCATAGACCTTTCTCGCAATATCCTTGGTAATTATTAGTATTATTGTAACTTCTTATTCGTGTTTTTCAGTTCATTTTCTAATAGAAACTAAAAGGACTATTTCTACCTTCATATTTTTGGGAATAAATGTCCTACTTTCATTGCTGAGGGATAGTCAAGATGTGAAACTAGATCTGTCAGCTTGTGGATTGACACCTCACTATATATTAAGGCCGAATGCTGAAGTCTCCTCCTTAGATATTCTTGTTGAGCTGAATCTTGCAGGAAATCCAATGATTGTAGAGGTTAATTTTCTATTCTCCAAACTTCATGACTAGGGTTTTTGCTTCAAAAATGTTCTCTGTCATAGGACTTAAGTTCTATTGTAAGTCAATGCATGAGTTATTTAAGTTTATGCATTCTCATAAGTCGATAGTGGAGATAAAATGTCAGTACATTTTCAGGAGTAAATTTCATGGTAGTGATTAATCAGAGGATGCTGTTATGCTGGTTAAGTGTATCACTTTCTCATATGTAGTTTTTGTAAATCAAGTCTAGCATTTAGTGTAAGTAAACAACCATATGAGCCTGAATGTAATTGTTTCTCGTATATCCTGGATCTAACTCGAAGCATGAACTAGGGTGCAAGTGCATTGGCAGCGTTGCTTGCTTATCCTGAATGTTGCTTAAGAGTCTTGGCGCTAAGAAAATGTCAACTTGGATTAATTGGCATCCTGAAAGTACTCGAGTCACTATCTCAGAATAACCATCTTAAAGAGCTTCACTTGGCTGAAAACATCCATATGGATGGAAATCATAACACTTCACCTCAGAGGAGCAAAATGTATTCTGATTGCCACTTTGTTGGAAATCTTTCAACTGCAGTTGAAATTGAAAAGCACCTAAAAATTTAAGATTTGAGCAATAATGTGTCCAAGCAGGATGTTTGGAACAGTTACGTGCTGCGTGGTCATCAAATTCTAGAGGCGCAACAGCTCAGTCTCATACTTCAAAGAACGTAGCTCATCTGTCGGTTCAGGGACAAGATTGCTACAGAATGCCATGCTGTCACTTAGAATAGGGAAATTGTATTGAATTCATAATGTGTTGTGCACAATATACAGACTATATATAGACAATAACAAACCCTATAATAGGAAATATACTAAATATTACAATACGCCCCCGCAAACTCACGGCGGAGAAGAGAGAAGCCGAAGTTTGTCCCGAAATCGAAAGAATAACTCTTTGGACAAGGGTTTTGTCAGAATATCAGCAAGCTGATCAGCAGCAGAGATAGAATTGACCGAAACAAACTTACGCCGAACATGATCTCGAACAAAGTGAAAATCAACCTCAACATGTCTTGTACGAGCATGGAACACAGGATTCACAAGAAGGAAAACTGCACTCTCGTTGTCACACCAAATAGAGGGAGAGCGATTTAAAGAAACGCCTAACTCGGACAATGATGACACACCCAATGCAGTTCAACACAGACATTAGCAACCGCACGAAACTCGGCCTCGGTAGACGAGCGAGCCACGGTGGGCTGCTTCCTAGATGCCTGTGCAATGAGATTAGGTCCCAAATAAATGAGAAAACCAGTAGTAGAACGACGATCATCCGGACAACCAGCCCGGTCAAGCATCACTAAACGCAGTAAGAGTACCCAAATCAGAGGATGCGAACTAAAGAAATCAATGGTACCACGAAGATAGCGAAGAACCCGTTTGAGAGCCCGAAAATGAGAAGTGCGAGGCTGATGCATAAACCGACAAAGCTTATTAACCGCAAATGAGATATACGGACGAGTGAGAGTGGTATACCGCAGATCGCCACACAACCGACGATAAGTAGTCGCATCATCGGGAGACAACAGAGTACCATCCAAACGGGATAACACAACATTAGCTCGCAAAGGAGTGGAAACAGTTTGCAAGTATGCATATTTGCAAGTCGTAGCAAATCGCTGACATACTTGCGCCGAGAGAGAAGCAAACCTTTGGAAGTACGACGAACCTCAACCCCAAGAAAGTAACTCAATGGACCTAAATCCCGAAGAGAAAACTCCTTAGCAAGACAAGAGATAAAATGCTGAACCAAACCAGAAGTGCTGCCTGTAAGAATAATGTCATCCACATAGACCAGTAAAAAACACAACTGCGACCCACGGCGATAGACAAAAAGAGACGAATCACAACGAGACTCCACAAAACCCAAGGTAAGTAGAAATGCTGCCAGCCGAGAATACCAGGCCCGAGGAGCTTGCTTAAGACCATACAAGGACTTATGCAGTTTACACACATAATGAGGGCGCACCGGATCAACAAACCCCTGTGGCTGAACCATATACACGGTCTCACTGAGAACACCATTAAGAAAGGCATTACTGACATCAAGCTGAGAAATCGACCATCCACGTGCCAGGGCAACAGTCAAAACGGAACGAATGGTGACCGCTTAACAACCTGGACTAAAAGTGTCGGTGTAATCAACCCCAAAAGACTGAGTAAAACCTCGAGCCACCAACCGAGCCTTATACCGCTCAATAGAGCCATCAGCATGAGTTTTAATCTTATAGAGCCATCGATTACCGACAACATTGCCGGAGGAAGGAGGGGGAACTAAAGTCCATGTGTTATTTTTGAGGAGGGCGGAAATTTCATCCTTCATGGCATTCTGCCACTGAGGAAGAGATTTGGCTTGGGTGAAGGATGTAGGAGCAGTAGACAAGGCTGGGGAAACAGAGGTAAGATGAGCCGAGGGATCAAAAATTTTCTTGGGCTTGGGTTGTGGACGAAGTGTCATTGAGTGCTGACGGGAAGAAGGAGGAGGAGGTGGCGGCGGAGGACTGCAATCAGATGATGAAGGGCTGGATGCAGGAGATCTAGCTAAAGGTGATGAGTCGGGAGGGATAGGAGGAGACGAAAGAACTGGTGTACTAGAAGGAGACGAAGAAGACGCAGAAGACGACGCAAGTATACCAGGAGAACTGGTTACACGCAACCAAGGGGTAGCAGAAGACTCCAGCAGTGAAGAAGGAGAACTAGAAATAGGAAGTTTAAAGGGAAAGAGTTTCTCATCAAACTCAACGTGACGAGCAACATAAAGACGGTTATTCACCACATCAAAACAGCGATAACCAAGATGAGATGGAGAATACCCAAGAAAGACACACTGAGTAGAACGAAAGGAGAATTTATGTTTATTATAAGGGCGAAGAAGAGGATAGACAGCGCAACCAAAGACACGAAGAAAGGTATAATCAGGTGGCTGGTGATATAGTGTAGTAAAGGGGAGGTGACCTTGAAGAGGTTTACTAGGGTGGCGATTAATCAAAAACACAGCAGTTTCAAAAGCAAACTCCCAAAACCGAAAAGGGGTATTGGAATGGCCAAGGAGAGCAAGTCCAATGTCGACAATGTGACGAATTTTGCGTTCAGCAGTGCCATTCTGCTCATGAGTGTGTGGGCACGCTAAACGATGAACAATACCAACATCCTTAAAGAAAGAATTGAGAGAACGAAATTCACCACCCCAATCGGAGTTAACACTTTTAATGGTAGTGCCAAATTGGTTTTCTACGAGAGCTTTGAATTGCTTGAAAACATGGACAACATCACTTTTATACTTAATTGGATAAATCCATGTGAATAAAGAGAAGTCATCAATAAAAAGCACAAAGTAGCGATAACCATTCAATGACAAAATAGGAGCAGGACCCCAAACATCAGTGTGAATTAAATCAAGAGGTTTAGAGCTACGATGAAATGTAGAAGGTAAACTGACCCTATGTAACTTCCCTAAACAACACGCCTCACATTTATCAGTGGACGTGGACACAGAGGAGTAAGGAAGTTGAAATTGCCTAACCAAAGTACGAAGAGTGACATTATTAGGGTGCCCTAAACGGGCATGCCACTGACCTAAAGAGACAAGATAAGCTGCTGGAGACAAGGACCCACGAGCAGGAAGATCTAAGCGATAGAGACCCTTATCAGCCCGACCGTGGAGGAGGAGTTCCTTGGTTGAAAGATCCTTAACACAACAAGAGTCAGAATAAAATTCAAAGAAACAGTGATTATCACGGGTAAACTTTTGAACAGATAACAGAGGTTTAGTAAGAGAAGGAGCATGCAAGACACGATTTAAATAAAGAGGACGAGAAAACGATGGCAAAACAGATTGACCAACATGCTGAATAGGTAAAGCATCTCCATTACCAACTAAAATATGGTCCGTACCAGTATAATCATTGGAGATATTGAGAGAGGACAAATCTGGCGTGACATGATCGGTAGCACCAGTGTCCGGATGCCAGGGAGTGACAGAAGGTGCATACTGCGCCATATGAGCTTGAGAAGACATAGTCGCCTCCGGGTAAGACGGAAGAGGCAACAAACCAGCTGAAGGCGGTGCAGGGGAACCTGCCTGGGCATAAGCAGCCGACCGAACGGCAGGGGGTCGAGGAACAAAGTTAGTATCAAAACGGCGTCGACAAGTGGCGGCCGTGTGATTCAAGATGCCGCAAAGCTGACACGTCTCACCCGGAGCGGGAGGGGTGTAACCACGCCGACCACCACCACGACCAGAAACCTGATTGCGCCGGCCGCCGCGTTGCGAGCGACCGGCACGAGAGGATTGAGGCGGCGTAGGAGAGGGGGGCGACTGCACAAGCATGGCATGGGTGAAGGACCGCCGTTGAGCGTGAAGAAGCACCTCATATGAAACTAACTGTCCAAGGAGATCTTGATAGGAGGGGGGTTCGGATCGCTGTTGCAGAGCTCCGATGATGCCATTGAATTCGGCACCAAGCTTGCGGAAGATTATGGCATTAAACTCCGCAGGAGATATGCGATGGCCGGCAAGCTGCAGCAGTATCGGCGATGCCCTTCGCTTTGGAGAGGAGAGCCGTGACCGACAAGTCACCTTTTGCAAGTGTGGAGCTCCATAACAAGTCGGGTCTCATTGAGCATAAGAAAGAGTGCCGAAACCTGTGAAGAGCCGTCCATGCAGCCTCCGATGTTGTGCAGCCCTGGAGAACGGGAAAAATCTCTTCAGCAACGGAAGAAAGAATCCAAGAGAGGACCAACTGATCCTTTTGCTGCCAGATATCAAACTCAGGATTGAGTTGGGGCACGGCACCACTAACGGAAGGAAGAAAACGTGGCGGTGCAGGTTCGGTGCCGTCGACAATACCGGCAACACGAAACATAGTCAATAAAGGAGTAAATTGAAGACGCCAAGACGAATAGTTGGCCCGCGATTGCAGCTTCACAGTAAAGGAATGATTGAGAGATTGCATACTAGGTTGAAGAATTGATACTGATGCCTGTGAAGAAGATACCGGTGACCGAAGATGAGTAGCCTGGTCGGCGGATGAAAGGTCGGTGATAGTCATCGTTGAAAGTAAGCAAGCAAAACACAATTCTTTATGATGATTTTTTTTGTTTTTTTGTTTTTTTGTTTTTTTTTTTTTTTTTTTTTTTTTTTTTTTTTTTTTTTTGATTTTTTTTTTTTTTTTTTTTTTTTTTTTTTTTTTTTTTTTTTTTTTTTTATTTAACAGCAGCAACAATCAACGGCAGCAACAATCGGCCAAAAACGGAGACCGACGACGACGACGACGATGAGGAACGACGACGATGAGGAACGAAGACGACGACGACGACGACGATGAGGAACGACGACGGCAGCAGCACGGAGGATGCGACCGACGATGGAACGGATTCAACGCCGACGACGACGATCACACGCCGACGAACACACGCGGGCAGTAGCAGAAAGACAGCGGCAGCAGCGGCGGCGAAGAAGGGGGCAGCGGCGGCAGTAGGTGATGCTGAGTTTGGTCGACGGGGAGAAGAAGAAGAACGCCGGTGATGCTGAGTGTGGTCGGCGCCGGCAGGGAAGGTTG